AAACTTTTGGTGTCGATCATTCGATTTCATCCTGGACACTACAGAAAATGGGCTTAAAGTGTAAAAAACCGAACTTCTCCTTTAAAGACATGCAGGGATAATAACAGAACTATGGACAGCTGGGATAAATAAAGGAGAGAGAGACAATCAGAGGGAGAACAGGAAAAACAAAGAAACACAGAAGATGGGTCATGAAAGGTTCTCTGCTAGATTAGAGAATTTCCCTCTATTTTCTTTCATTAATTCTGAAAACATGCTGAGGAAACCTATTTTCTTTCTCCCCGCTTCTTCTGGAGCGGCTGTGTTTGTGGCATAAGGTCCAATGAGGACAATGGTGATGATGTTGAAAGCTGGTGCTTGTTTCTGTCATGATTTTGTCATCTTATCTACTTTGGGAATCAGATGCTGACAGTGAACAGATACTGAAAACAAACCAGAGGCAGACAGATGCTGTCTGACCATTAACCTCTTAAGCTCGGTGGGACCGGTACTGAGCCGAACTGACACTTGCTCATGTTGATTTATTCATAGAAATGGCCACAACACAGTCCCATGGTGTTTCATCCACATGACTTTCAAAAGGGGGTATTACATTTTCTAAAACATGTTTCAAATTTATTTTTTCACAAATAACTTTTTTTATAGCTGTGTAAACAATGAAATGGGATTTAAAATTCCACCTGACATATCTGATTCTGCCGCAATATTGCAACAGCACATATTCAATTTTAGCCTCCTATTGGTGGCATCATTGGAAACTAGAGGTTTAGACCTTTCCAACAAGGTGTTGGACATAATTGAGCAACTATTTCACGTCATCTAAAAGGCATGCGCAACATATGCTTGCTGTGTGCGTAAAAGCTTTCAGTATATCAGCATTGTGCTCAGGTCACTTTACACACAGCAACCTTGAGGTTGCTCTGCTCCGTGGATCCCGTTTCGGCTCGCTCTCTCACTCTATGATTTTATTTCAATAAACCGTGATGGCACAGAAGAGGAAATGACTGATTTGGAAGCCGAGAGGTAATCTTGCATACCAGTGATGGTGAAATTTAGAAATCATCATACAGCAGCAGCCTAGATTGTGAGGAGGAAGATGAGGACTTGCTGCTTTGTGATCCGGTTTATGAGTAAATTGCATGGGATTTTTTTTTATTTGTAGTATCTCTGTCTGTCAGCACAACAAAAACATCAAAAATCCTCTTTATTCACTTTCTTAAACAAAACAGATCTTCAGGCGGACCTGCAGGGGGCAATCAATCATTTGCATTTTGTAACATCACCAGCAAAGCACTCCAACCGACTTCCTGTCAAGGAAGGAACTTCCTGTCAAACGGCCATCTTAAACATAAGTTCAATACATGCTGTGGAGGACAAAGGAAGAAAGTTTGTTCGGAGCAAAAGTTTGAAGAAACAAGCCAAACCAAGAAAACTAAAATCCCTCAGTTCACCGTCAAACACAACTGGTAGGGGATTTGACTTTCTTGAATGACTCACCTGTTGTTGTGGATCTGGAAAGAAGGAATTTCTGGAAAAAGTCGACAACTACTGGAAAGGATGTTTGGATGGTCGTTTGGTGCATGGCGCGTGTTTTGAAGTCGCTTGTGGAGAAATGTCCTGGGCCATGAGTAGTGAGGAAACAGGAAGCGATTCTTGTGGGATGGAAGAGGGAAATAGTGACAATGAAGGTTGGAAGATAGCAACATCAAAAAATTTGAAAAAGCGGAAAAAACAGAGATCAGTTAAAGGGGAGTCCAGTTCAGAACAATCAAGTGATGATCAATCCATACATTCCACAGCAAAACAAAATGAATACAAAGTCATATTCAAAGTCGTTAATCAGGCAGACTCTTTTTCAAATTGGAATCTGGTTCACTTAACAAAAACCATAAATAAACTTGTTGGAGAAGTCAGAGGTGCCAGAATTCTGTACAGTGGAGACATGCTAATTAACTGCAGAGACAGCGCCCAGCAAGGTAAAGAAATACAGATCAACAAAATTGATGGGATAAGAGTTCAGTGCAACTTAATGGAGAACAAAAAGATCAGCAGGGGAGTCATTGGAGGAGTTCCTCTAAGAGTTTCTGAAAAAGAAATTCTAGAAAATATAAGTTGCGCAAAAGTAAAAGAAGTAAAATGATTAAGAACAACAAGAAACAGAGAAAGATCTGACAGTTTATCGGTATTCATTGGTTACATCAGCTATAATGTCGATATCTACAATCCTCCACCATTGAGATGTTTCAAATGCCAAAAATTCGGACACATTGCAGCAGTTTGTAAAGGAAAACAGGTGTGCAGCAGAACACGAATATGGAAAATGTGGAAAAGAAGCTCAAATAAAATGCTGTAACTGTGGTGGAGAACATACTGCTGCTTATCGTGGCTGTGAAGCAAGCAAAAGGTCTGAGGAAATAAAAAAAATGAAATTTGAGCTCGGAATTACTTACGCTAAAGCTGCAAAAAAGATCCCATCTCAGTCAGGAAAAATCAAACCAACAGTTCAGCACATGGCAAATTCCAAACCTCTAGAGAAATGTCCAAAAATTGAAGAAGACTCACTAATTGTTAAAAAGAGAGATTTTATTCTATTCATGGTGGAAGTGATTAATTGTACTGCCCAGACGACAAGAAAAACCGAACTGGGAGATGGTTGGAAGCAAGATAGGAGGACCGATGGGACCATTAGAAACTGGCAGAGTGACGATGGCTTAAAGTTAAATCAAAATTATAAGGGCAAATGTGATTTAGTATTTATTATGTTGGGTTAAGTTACACAG